ATGTACTGTACTGTATTTGCCTAATATTAGCCTCCAGCTTTTTAAAGTCAATAAACAAAGGCATTTATACTTAAAAGATTAACTTAAGAAATGAATGCATCATGGTTTCATCTTCACATTATATTACTCTTAATGTTATTAAGAGTACTAAGGAGAATTGTTTAAAATATACTCATAAAATATTAGCCAGCTTAAATTTGTAAGAATGTCTTTTCTTTTTTTAAACATACATTGGTGCGAGGGTGTTGAATTCACTGGAATTGAAGTTACAGTCAACTGTGAACTGTCTAGTGGGTGCTGAGATTTGAACCTGTATCTTCTGGCAGATCAGCTGAGCTCTTAACCACTGAACCATTTCTCCCCATGCCAGTTAATCTAAAAAGAAACCTGGCGGTATATTTTTGGTTGGTCAAACTGTAATATTAACAATTAAACACACACACACACACACACACACACACACACACACACACACAGCTGGGCATGGTGGCAAACGCTGTAATCCCAGTTGTCATGGAGGCAGAGGCAGGATCTCTGTGAATTCAAGGCCAGCCTGGTTTACAAAGTGAGTCCATGACAGACAAGGCTACAGAGAAACCCTGTCTCAAAACAAACAAAATATCACCAGTCATTTTTGTTTATTTTGTTTTTTTTTTTTCCAAAGACAAATATCACTCTAGATAAGGCTGGCCTTCTGAAACTGAGATCCACCTGCCTTTGTCGTATGTAGGTTATTAAAGATTATGCCTGTCGTATGTAGGTATTAAAGATTATGCCTGTCCAACCAACTACTTTCTCATTTTTCAAGTGTATACAGGTGTTTTGCCTGCATGTATGTGCATACTTAGTACCTAGTGGAAGATCCTCTGGAACTGGAATTATGGTTATTAGCCACTATGAAACTGCTAGGAACTGGAGCTAAATCTTCTGCAAGAACAAGTGCTCTTATTTTGAGTTCAGACCCTAAAACCCAGATAATGTGGCTCATAAACCTTTAACTCTAGCTCCAAAATATCCAATGCACTCTTTTGGACTCAATGGGTGCAGGAACAAGTGCACACACATAAATCTTAAAATCTTTTGTACAAAATGGGTAAGAAGTAAGTAAATCAAGACACTGTAGCTACTGAATAAAAGTTTAGGCTTTTATAAGCCTAAAATAAAAACAAAAACTAAGGAATCTAATATGAATAAAAGTAAAAATGTCAAGACCCCAGAGCAGAACTAGCCAGTTTTTTTTTAATCTGTATTTTATGAGTGCATGTAAGAATACCACTTGAGTGCCTTCAACTCAGAGGTCAAAAGAGGGCGTCAAATCCCCTTGAACTGGAGTTTTAGGTGCTTATGAACTACCATGTCTACACTCAGAACTGAACCCTAGTATTCTGCAGAATTAACAAGTGTTTGTAACCGCTGACCCATCTTTCTAGGCCCTGGCCAGTATTCCATGAGTGGAGGCACACAACTTTCACCCTAGTATTCTAGAAGCAGAGAAACCCAGCTAAGTCTAACATGAGTTTCAGGCTAGCCAGGACCACATAGTCAGACCATTAACATGACCAGAGCTCAGCTCTTAACATTAAGAAAAAGGGAAAAAGATCAGATAAGGTGTCACAGTAAAATTCTAACTTTAGTGCCAAAGTAAGGATCCACTAGTTGGACAATTCCCCTTGCCTTTAATCCCAGCACCTGGGAGGCAGAGGCAGGCAGTGTGAGTTTGAGGTCTACAGATTTAGCTCTTTGACAGCCAGACTACAGACAAAGAAACCCTGTCTTGTAAAACAATAAAAAAAAAAAAAACACTAAAATGTCTCAAAATGTGTAACTAATGCATTAAAAAAAAATTGAGAGGCTGAAGAGATGGCTCAGAAGCTAAGAGCACTGGCTGCTCTTCCATGTCATGAGTTCAATTCCCAGCAACCACATGGTGGCTCACAACCATCTATAATGAAATCTGGTGCCCTCTTCTGGTGTGCAGGTGTATGTGCAAACACAACATTGTATGTATGATAAATCTAAAAATTTTTTGAGCCAGGTTTCATTTAGCCCTAGATCACTCCGAATTACACACAGCTCTTCAGCCTGCCTGCACCTAAGTGCTGATTATAGACACATATATGATAACCAAGCCCAGCTTGGTAAGCACAATCAATGTAGCTGCCACTTCAGAATAGACTAGTGTGGAGAAAGAAAAAGAAATGGTTGTCTATACTGAAATGCACTAAAGACAATGAAGAACTGACATGAACCAAGATGGCAGAAATGGTTTTAAATGAAAACCTGATGACATAAAAGTAATAAAATAAAAGTAACCAGTCTGGCCTAAGTGACAATAAAACTGTATTTGATGAACCAAAGACATCCAAACAAACCAATTTGAAGAAGTCTAGATAGTCTGTCTTTGTAGTAATTGTTTTCTTATGAGAGTCTCACACTGTAGGCCACCAGGCTGACTTTGAAAACAGGGTGGCAATTCTGGCCCTGCATGACAAGTGAGTCAACACATCCTCCTTGAAGTTGGTATGGGTAATATTCAAGTGAACCTACCACATAAGCAACTGACTAGACACAAATCTATAAGAGAAAAAGTCCATACTGTCAACTTCAAATAAATATGACAGCAATCACTTCAAATATACAAAAATCATAGGACTGACATAACTCACAGAATGAGTACAGAACAAGGACAGAAAGAGTTAAGAAACTTCACGATGAGCCAGCCAGGCATGGTGGAACACACCTGTAATCCAGCACTTGGGGAAGCAGAGGCAGGTGGAACTGTGAGTTCAAGGCCAGCCTGGTCTACAAAAATAGGACAGCCAAGGCTACACAGAAAAACCCTGTCTCAAAAACTTCACAACAGCTTAGATCACTGGTTCTCAACCTATTGTTATGATCCTCACAGGAATTACATCTGATATTCTGCACATCAGAATTTCCATTATGGCAACAGTAGCAAAAATTACAGCTATGAATTAACAACAAAATACTTTTTATGATTGTGGGATCACCACAACCACTGTATTAAAGGGTTGCAGCATTGAGAACCACTGGCTTAGTTAGATAAATGATAAAGGCCAAGTGAAATGAGGATTGAAAAATAGACCACTGTATTCATAGTAACAGACATCAACCATTCACCCACACGGCAGCTTAAAATTGTAACTGCAGTTCTAGGGTGATCTAATGCCACTTTCTGGTCCCCGAGAGCACCAGGCATGCACATGGCAACAGACATGCACACATGCCTACTCATTTAATTTCTAAAAATGAAAATTTCTCGTCACTTCCTACTTTAGCATTCACTGGCTGTTTAAAAATGTACTCCATGGGCTGGAGAAATGGCTCAGAGGTTAAAAGGCTGTTCTTTCAAAGGTACTGAGTTCAACTCCCAGCAACCACAGTGGCCACAATCATCAGATATGAGATCTGGTACCCTCTGGCACGCAGGCAAAACACTATAATCTTTTTTAAAAATGTACTTACTCTATAACACAGAGTAAGTGTTTTATCTGGCTTTATCCTAAGATTCAGTTCACTTCCTCTGAAAACAGTCTCTGGCCTCCTGATACCTCAACCACTACTGCATTCTCCAGAACTGTGCATAAATCTCATCATATGGCATCATTCCTCACTCCCATCTGTCACCAATGAGCAGGCTAAGAGGTTCTCATCAGGCACCTGATCCCTCAAACAAAAAAAGCATAATCCTAAAAAAAAAAAAAAAAAATGAACTCATAGAACAAGAAATCAATAATATAAGCAGCTGCAACACAAGACAGAATAAAAGATAAATTTTATATAAAATATCAATACTTTTAATAAGACTGGGTTTCTCTGTGCAGCCTAGGCCAGCTGTCCAGGACTGTAAACCAGGCTGGCCTTAAACTCAGAGATCCACCTGCCTCTGCTTCCCAGAATGATTACAGGTATGCGCCACTGTGCCTGGCTAAAATATTTCATTCCTTTTCCAGACCCCTGAAGTTTCTGCTTTAATGTTCCATTATTTCTTTGATGCTCATTTGACCTAGATTTTGCTTTTCACCTATCAGAGGGCATGATATACCCAAATGTCACAGCACTTTTCCCAGATTGGAACTTAACTCTAAAATTGTTACCAAGGCCAGATATGGTGGTGTTTGCCTTTAATTCCAGCACTTGGGAAACAAAAGCAGACAGATCTGCGTTTTAGGCCAGCCTGATCTACATAGTGAGTTCTAGAACAGCCAGGGCTATTTAGAGACCTTATCTTTAAAAAAAAATAATAAAATAAATTTTCTTAATTCCAGCTAGCTATGTCCTCATTAACCACTGTTTTCCAGATTCATTCCTTTACACCACTCTAGAAGGTTAGGAACTGTTAACAGTGCTTCAAGTCATCACTGGACATCTCAGTTGATGTGGATATAGAATTAAAGAGATCTTTCTATTTTATTTTAAGCTTTAAAAACCCTATCTTCAAATTCTTAAAGTCCTCTGTAACAGCATTTTGATGCTTGTGGGTATTACTGTATTTATGATTGGATCCATGGGATTTGTTTTCAGTGTCACAATAGCCTCAAACTATTTCAACCTCGAGTACTGTCATTATGGGCATTTGCCACCATATAAGTATTCATATTAATAACCCAAAACTGGATTTCCAGATTTAATTTTCTTTTGAGGCAAGGTCTCATGTATTCCAGGATGGCCTCAAACTACATAACTCAAATACCCTGAATTTTTTATACTCTTCCATGGGTCATAGATGTGGCTGTCACCAGGCCCAGTTTATAGAGTGCCATGAATCAAAACTCAAGGCCCTTATGCATACTAGGCACTGTCTGCTAAGCTATATGCTCAGATCCCAAAGATTATACTCTAAACAGTTTACTGATAGCCTGAGAAAGAACTGTTTAGATGGAAGCACTTCTGGGGCTCTACCTATACATCAACTAAAATTAAATGAGTCTATTTTCCTAGTCTTTGCAATGAAACCAAGTGGACCTCACACCTCTTACCATCACCCAGGAAGGGTGTACATCTGTTCCGAAGGCCCCCCTGGCTTCAGGTCATCCTGGCTGATGCTGCTCCAGGCTGGGCATCCATGTTGCTGCGGCTTGTGGTTTGTGAGGGGTAGTGTACAGGAAAAGCAGGATGGGATTTCAAGGGAAACAGTAGGAAGATGGCTTTTTGGGAAAATGCCATCACCATTATAGGTGTTAAATAGTACCACACACATTTTATTGCAGCACAGTTTAAAAATTTTAACAAATGAAAGATTAAAAAGAAAAAAAATAAAAATAAAAAAAATTAAAAATACAGACGTCCAGAGATGCTCTAAAACAGTTAAGTTAAAGATCAGGAAAAATAAGGTCAAAGACTTAACAGCCAGTAAAATTATTTCCAGTGTGGGGAAGGGGTTGAGGGCAAGGGTGGGGTTGGGAGAGAAAAGGTTTATGTGATCAAACTACTTAAAAATGCTAACACCTTCACTTTCTCTCCCAAAACTCCAAAGTCAATCAGGAGGCTGAAGAAATCTTAACATTCAGAAAAACTCCACTTTAATCCGGTTAAAAATCATCATTATCATCATCATCATCACCATTATAAGTATAATAATAATAATAATAATAAATAACTAGTAAGTAACAACAATAAAAAGGAAACCAGCGAAAGTCAGGAAAAATGTAAAAAAAAATTTGTAATAACTTACTGTAGCTGAAGATCAAAAAAATCTCACTGTAAAAAAACAAAAATAAAAATAGCCCAGATTAGAAAAACGGGAGGTCTAAAAATGTCAAGTCAGTAAAGTTCATTTCTTTTCTTTTCCAAAAGCAGTTTCCACAAAAACCGCAAGGGTAATGTTCTCAATAGCAGACAAATAACAAAGCCCTTTCCACATCATCAATTAATCTTAAAAATACACGAGGAAGTAGAGAGGTCAGTTTATGAGGCTAAAAGGCTCCTCCTCTAACCCAACTGCTGCAGAAAAAATAGAAATAGAAATTTTAAAAATTACATTTTAAATCCAGGTCCCGTTTGTTTGTTTGTTTTGTTTTTGTTTTCTTGGGAAATAATTTTTAAAAAAACACCTGTATATTTGCTGTAGTGCACACCAAGTTGCATCAGTATGTTTAAAATCAATTTTGGAACGGGAATGTGTGTGTTCTGGAAAGGTGGGGAAGGGAAGTTAAAAAAATCAAAGCTGAGCTCCAGTGAGTAAGGATGGGGTTCGCCTTGCTGCCCTGTGAAAGGAGAAGGGACAGATTGAGTCATAGTTCCTCAGAAATGTGCCCTAAACCCAAGACAGAAAACTGTCTGTTACATCTAACACATTTTGGTAAAGCATTAACATTTCACTGGGACGGAGAGAGCCTTTAGAAAATCACTTCTATTAGTGACTGTTTTACAATTAACCAACATCAGTATGTGGCTGAAGTTAATTAACTTAAGTCTATCCCCTTTAAGGGGACTGATAAAATATACATTTGAATGTTTGCTTTGTAATAAGCAGTTTGGGAAACAAAAATATAGAAAAACCAGGCCAACAAATGGAGATGAAGTGAGTAACGGTCAAACAGATTCATGGGCTTCTAATCTAAGGCAGTGTGGTTTTCTTCCTATGACTAATACAGATTGAAGGTGAATGGTCTACCATGGAGATTTACACTAAAGGGGACTCCATCTATCTATTCTCAAAGAGTGAAAGACCACAAGACTTTGACAAGGTTCTACAGAGTGAAAGATGTTCTAAGGAGCCAGCCCTTTTTATTCATCATCACCAACAGAAAAGCCATACAGATCGAAGAAGTGTCCATGAATAGTTTATATAATGAAACAGTTAATAAAAATTGTGCCCTTATGGATTTGTGTTTCATTTTTAAAATCTCATCTAGTATATCTAACCCCAAGGTATGAAGAATCTGACACATACTGTAAAACTGAAATAATGTACATGACAAAAACTGGTGGTTTCTTCAGCTAAAGAAAAAGAATCGCAGTTAGCATTTACTCATTGTACAAACAAACAAGGCTTGGTTGCATTCCCATTTCATTAAGACATGAGGCCTTATTATCCCTTAAATTTTCACCTAAGTTAAAATTCTAAACTTAACATTTAAAAAGTATTAGTCAAGAAAATACTTATTTAAATACACCAAAGACTTCCAACAAAGTACTGTAAACTCTTAAGACTATGTGTCAATTTCAAATAGCCAAGCTTATATAAACATAAAAACTGCAGAGTAAGTTTCTGGGTAGAACATTTACATTTAAAAGTTATCCGTGCTTGTCAAGGTCGCACAGGACTGTACTCCCTGCAGAGGCAAGTAGGTCTACAAAGTGAATCCAGGACAGCGAAGGCTACAAAGCGAAACCCTGGAGGGGGAGGGGGGAAAGAAGGTATGTGTATTTTAGAGCTATTGTAACAAAAAACTCTTATTTGGCACTACTACCCTGAAACCAAAATCTTTTGGATGTTTGCCTGAGAGGGGGGAAGCTGGAAGGTGGTGGCACAAGCCTTTAGTCCCAGCATTCAGGAGAGAGGCAGGCAGAGCTCTGTGAGCTTGAGGCCAGCCTGGTCTATATACAAAGTGAGTCCAGGACAGTCAGTGCTACACAAAGAAACCCTGTCTTGAAAGAAAGAAAAAAAAAAATCCTTAGTGCATATACAAGACATAGGTGTAAAAGCAGTTGTGCACACCTTCAGTCCCAACACTAAGGAGGCAGAGGCAGGTGGATCTCTGGTTGGCAGCCAGCCTGGTCTACATAGTGAGTTCCAGAACAACCAGAGCATCAAGCAACATAAGAGACCCTGTCTGGGGAAAAAACAAAAAACAAAACAGCAAACATTACATGTCTCATATCAACAAGTTATCTCACTTAAGATATCAAACTAGTAAACTACTGCTACTTTTTAAAAAGGCAAAGTGTTTTTGCAATAAAGAGTGGAAAGATGGTGCAGCAATAAGAGCACTCATTGCCCTTACAAAGGTTCTAGCTTTGATTCCCAGCATCCACAAGGTAGCTCACAACCTAATTCCAGTTTCAGGGGATTCTGTTTTCTTTCTGGCCTACATGTCCAGCAGACACACACATATTATACATTCATTCATGCAAGTACTCATACACAGAATTAAAAAAAAAAAGCTGTCAAAACTCCCACTAAGGGTTGGATAAGCTCTTCTAACAGTTACTTGAAATGAGTCAAGAATCATCATGTGGTACTTATTAAAAATGCAGAAAATCTAGAGAACCACATGACTAAATTAGAAAATGGTGAAGAGCCCAGCAGTGTGTTTTCACTAATAATCAGGCCTCTGATTCTATCAGCTTTTGTCTTTTGAGAACCGAACTTGTTAACCAGGAATTCCTACTCAATGTAGCTTTTCAAAATCTTTAAGAAAACACATGCATAGCTTTGCTATAACTGAAAGTTGTTTTTTACCAGCTAATTCTTCAGTAAATCTAGTTCATATAGAACTATAAACCAGCCGGGTGGTGGTGGGGCATGCCTCTAATCCCAGCACTCAGGAGGCATAGGCAGGAGCATCTTTTTGAGTTCAAACCCAGCCTGGTCTACACAGAAAAACCGTCTCAAAAACAAGGGGGGGGGGGGGGACGGGACAGAAACCTTCCAATGAAAGTTGAGGTGTAAGTATATAATGCTAAAAACAAATACTAGGTAAGCTTACTTGACTGTTGATAGTCGTAAGGTAGTAAATAGCAGTAACTAGTGGACACAGGATCTCATGTTAACAGTGGCTGGCCTGGACTACACGGTGAGTTTGGCTTTTTAGGGCGAAGTGGCCTCCAACTCACATCTGCCTGCTTCTTCCCAAGTGTTGGGTAATAATTTAGGAAACTGGGGGGGGGGGGGACAACTTTTGCATATTTTGTCGGCTTCTTTCAACAATGACATGTTAAAAATTAAAGTAGGTAGTCTAAGTCCCCTTGTTGTATAGCTCAAAAAAGAATCTAGAAGCTTAACTTACTATGGTAAGATTAACATAAAATACAGTTTTTACTTAGGCCAAGATTATTTTTCAACTGTTACACTCCCTAGTTAATAACTCACTCTCCATTAAACATAATCTTTTTTAAGACTATAATGAACTACTTGAGAATATAATCCTTGCTTGCTTGTAACAGCCACTCCCATCATAAGCCAATCCTTCTAGAGATCAAATTTCAAACAGTATTTCTCTACAGAAAGAATGGTAACCACTACCAAGCATTTCTGAAGATAGCTTGACCATGGCAAATGACAAGACCCAAAACTTGCAACTTAGGTCAATTTTAACCTCTTCCTCTCTAGTAAAATCAGAAATGCTATCAATGTTCATTTAGATGAGAAATCACCTACAACACTTTCAAATATCTGTAGGAGGATCAGACAAGGTTTCACCAGGCCTTGGTGGCCTCAATGTTACAAGAAATCAGCCTGTTTTGCCAAGACTGAAGGGTCGTACCACCAGGCTTAGCCTAAGTTTGTAACACTTAAAGGAGGACACGTTTCAACTAATTTTGCATACTAACCTCTTACATTTATTTACAACAGTATTTCTGATGGAAAACTTCCTATTTATTCCTTACTGCATGTCCCACAGTTTACCAAGGCAAAACACTACTCTTAGGCACATGTTTGTACCTTACAAGTAGGAGCCCTAAATTTTTTTGGTTTTTTGACCTCTGCTTTTGTTTTTAAAGACAAGGTCTAACATACTTCAAGCTGGACTTAAACTTGCAATATATACCAAGGATGGCCTTGAACTCTCTTCCTACCTCTATCGTCGTGCTCAAATTACAGGATTAGGCCATTGAACATTCTGTCACATATGCTTAAAGATTAAATGTGTATAGTTTAAACTAAGCTCAGTACCGTTATTTTTGTGAATTAGACAAACCAATTTTTTCATTTTTCAAGATAGATTTCCCTGGCTGTCATAGAACTCACTCTGAAGACAAGGCTGGCCTTGAATTCAGATCAGCTTGCCTCCCAAGTGCTGAGTTTAAAGGGGTGTGTCGTGTCGGCATGCCCGACATTTATCATAAATTTACTTAATAACTCCCAGTTAATTATGACACAACAGCACTATTAATGCTGGGGAATGAATCCAGGTCAGCTTGAATCCTAAGCACTACCACTGGACTACACTGACAGGAACTCAACTTCTACAAGAGAGCAACTGTTTTGTTTTTAAACTATGCAGTCCTGGACTGCTTTGCAATGGTTATCAATCCTCCTGTCTTAAAAGCCTCTCGAGTTCAAGGATTACAGGCCTGCACTAACACACCTAGCTGCAAACTGCTTTTCTGCTTTAACTTTAGATAGATAGGACTAATACCAGACTATCCAGAAACCACTACCCTCCCTTTTAATTATTTTTCCCAAGTCCAGCTTGGAAATTTCCGTTACATTTAATTTCTTTGTCAGCTCTCTCTAAAAATTCAATCTTTTTGTTTGTTTATTTCGGAAACAGGGTTTCTCTTTGTAGCCCTGGATGCCCTCGAAATCAGAGATCCACCTGCCTCTGCCTCCTGAGTGCTTGGATTAAAGGCGTGAGCCACCATCACCCGGATCAACTCTCTTTTTGTACATAGTATTCCAGTAACTCACTGAAAATTCTTGAGCCGCCTAAAAATATCTTAGTTGCTCTACCACTGACTTAGTATGATCCTGTCAATCACTTTTACGCCTCGCTTCTAAGACAGCAATACCTACCTCAGGCAAAGTTCCCACTAACTTATGTATTTCAAGTGATTTGCAACCTGCAGATAAAAAGCTGTAATTATTGCCAACTGCAATTAATCTTCGGCACTTCCTCTTACAAACACTCCGACTTTTAGCATTTATTCCGGGGGGGGGGGGGGTAACGACTCCTCAATCTATTGTTAACGCGCGGTTCAGAGGCCATGTGGCCCGCCCGGAACTGAGAAGCTTCCAGCGATACACCAGGACGGTACCGCTCCCCCACCTCCGCCCGACGTTCAACTTAGAAGACAATAACAGAATCAGTTAGGACAGTCACTCCCATTAGGTTAGCAAGCATTTCCTTCTCCGCCTTCACGCTCCCCGCATGGAGTCCTAGTGGGCGAGGGAAACGAAAGCAACCGTTAGACACGAGCGCGCAGACACGGTGTTTTCCGTGCCGACTGCGGCCTAGAGGTCACCAGGCTGGGCCTGCGCCAGAGCCGAGGCCTGCTGCCTCCCGCCTCAGACCCGATCCCAACGCAAGGGAACAAACGCGGGCTCGGTTTCCGCCGCGAGGCCGTTTTCTCTCCCGAACCCCGTCGCGGGGCCCAGGAGCCCAGCGCCTCCCCTGCACTCGCCCCCTCCGCTTACCAAGAAGAAGGAGAGAGAGAAGAGGCTGCCTCTCCTACTTCGGGTCTGTGTCGAGACGCCGAGGCTACAGCAAGCAGGGAGCACACGACCGTTCGCTCTCCGTCTCTTCACAAAATGGCCCCCGAGCTCCTCTGCCGCCGAGGCGAAGATCCAGCCCCCGCCCCGCTCCCGGGGGCGTTCCTATTGGCTGTGACTTTTCTCGCTCCGGCTCCTAATTAGACAGCGCGGCCGCTCCTCACAATTTTGCCCAATCACAATAAGAGGTGGGTTGGGCTAATTAAGAAAATTTCTACGTGCGTAACAGGAGCTAGTTACTAATTGGTTAATCTTCCTGTCACTTAATGTGTGACGGATGGTCATTGGTCACTGTACCAGACGGAAAGCCGGGGTGGAATTTTCGCCTTTGTATCGCGCACGGCTTCTCATCCGGGTATCCGGCGGAGTTGACTGACGGCCGTCTTGTCCTATCAGTGCTTTCTAGAGATCCTCGGTCCGCCAGATCACCGCATTTCCGCGCCGCGGGGGTGGGAAAAGCTGGGTGGAGCCTGGTAGCGGGGTGCAGAGAGCCTGCCCTAGCCCCAGGCCTAGAAAAAGGGAAGTGCCAAATAAGCCTTAGAGTGGGGAGGAGACTAGTTCCCAGGTTGCCTTAAGTTTAGACAACTGACGAGCCCTGCAGTTTTTTTCAAATTCAAATTGCGTTTCCTTGCCAGATTCTACAAGCTGCCGGACGTGGCCTTCCATCAAACTACACAGCTCATCTCCTGTAGGAGCGATTTTCTGCTCCCAAGTCGGCGCACAGTCTGCAAACCGAATGTCCAGCCACCTCAAATTTCCCAATTCTGCAATAGCCTGATACTACTTAATTCCCTCAAGTCTGGCCCGCCAGTAAAGCTATTCTTTCTTACACTGTATGAACATTAAGCACACCAAAATGTATACAGCCTATTGAGAAAGGGAGATAGTACGTCAGGATATCTAGAAGATCTACTGCTTTAAAAATAAATAAATAAATAGGTTTTGACCTTTAGAGCCGTGGCATTTTCAAAAGATTCATTTTTTGTGTGTTTGTATCTAGTTGAGTGACTTTACGTGCTCCCAATTTTAAATTTTTTAAAAGAAAAGTTTGAAGCAAGGCAGTGGTTGTGCACACCTTTAATCCCCACTCTCAGGAAGC